ATCCTCAGCTCTGAATGACACAGGGCTTGCCACCAGTGCCAACAGTGTCCACCGAGCACGCTCCATGGGACAGGGAACCGAGGAGCACAGGGCTGGCCTAACCTGGGCTGCCCAGAGTGCTGATTCCTTCTCAAAGAACATGCTGATTTGATGTCTGAAATATGATGGCTCAGGTTTATTTGTATTTTTTGTTACATGCTAGTTCAGTGTAATGTCCTTATTTTTCCATTATCTGATTTGAATGCATTGTATTGGAGGTTAAAAACAAGAATAGGTTTGTTTCTTTCAACAGTTAAACTGGAGAAGAGGAAAAGAATAATAAGCTTTTGAGCTCTGATTTCTTTATTTATATGGTGTTGTCAAAATAGAGGATTACAAATTCCCAATCACTCTCACCAAAAGATTACAAAGCATATTTTGTTCTTTTTTTTTTTTTCAGTTGGTCAAAAATTGTGTCTCCAAACTATTTGTTGTCTGGGAATAAAACTGAACTCACTAGCAAAATGTCTATTTTGATAAATCAGGAACAAAAAGACCAAAACTAATGACTTCCACAATGGAAGCTGCCCTGGGAAATATAATATAGAACAGTGGAGTCAGGGGCTTGTTTACCATGATTCTCTGTATCCATCTGATGGGGAGTACAAATAGGTTTCTTTACACAAAGGGACCCAGAGAATAGCGAGGCAGGAAATAATTGACTTGTCTTGGTATGTTTGTGAATGTGCATTTTTATCTGATGGCAAATATGCTGTTGGCCTTTGAGTCAGTCATCTACCGTAAAATATTCTCAACTTCGTATACACCAAGATAGTGTGCCCACCCCCAGTCCCAAAGAAAACATTTCAAATTAGCATTAATCATCCAGTGTCATGGTTTGGGCCCTATGGTGAAAGCCACCTACTACAGCTGAATGCCATCCAGCAGGCAAGAAGTGATTTGCAATATAATTTAAATAAAGAGTTAGATCCCTTCCCCACTCAGAACACACCAGTATGGAAAACCGATTGTCAGGCGTTCTGGTGATGTGCATCGACTTAGCTATTCACTCAGAAAATGAAGTTTCCTGAGACACCAGCACATTTAATTTATTTTTTCCCAGTGAAGTTAACTTCGTCTTGTAAAATACAATCACTATCCAAACTGCAGAAAACCCAGAATCATTAATTTTAATGCTTATAATGTAATGGAGGGAGATTATATTCATTTGGGATTTTTCTTTTTAATAGAATGTTTACTTGCCCCTCTCCTTATGCGTTAATTATTATTTTTTTCTCCATAATGCCCTGCTAGTATCCGAGCAGCCAAACTGAATGTCTGTTAATGTCCTGAATTTCAGAATTGCTGGTGAATCTAGCATTTTTGCAGTGTTTATGTCACTAACGCAAGAGCGTGGCAGTGAATATAAGACTGATAGGAGCACAACTGGTTCCCTACAGAGCCCTCCCATATATTTGTGTAAAACATTTAGTTTTCATAGTTTCTTTTCTAGCTTCACTTGTCAGATTGAATGACTTTTCCATGAATTATACAGTAGTAAATTAAAATTTGGTGACTTTCTATCTGTTATCATTCAGGTATCTACTTTTAGTTCATCACCATGTGAAGTTAATAAATACTTAGTGTACCCCATTTAGATCAGTATTGTGCTAAGTATTAGGAGTGAACCATTAAGATGCAGTCCCCATGTTCAGGGAGCTCACAGTTAGAGTAGGATATGTAACCAGGAGCTACAGCACAGGCACAATGAGATGGGTGGTTCAAGAGAGTTGGGTATAGAAGGTAATAGGATGCAATGGAGGGAGCTCCCCTTGGATAGGGGACCATGAAGGAAGGCTTTGCAGAACAGAAAATGCTGTAGCTGGATCTTGGAGGCCAGGCCTTGAGTTAATTGAGTTGGCATTGGAATGGTGGGAGAGGGGAGAAAAAGACAGCTCAGGCATAGCAAAGCACATATGCACAGTGGAGATGAAAGCTTTTGATGGAAAAACTTATATAAGTGCCCCTGATTTATGGGAGGTTGCAACCCAATAAATCCACCTTCATTTGAAATTATTGTAAGTTGACAATGCACTGAAGCTACCTAACCTAGAGAACGTCACAGCTTTGCAACACAGTGGACTGAAGACAATGGGTTTGTTGCCCCTGGTCCTGTGGCTGATTGGGAACTACAGCTCATTGCTGCTGCTCAGCATGGAGAGGGACAGGGGAGGAAGAGAGAGAATTAAACCACATATTGCTAGCCTGAGAAGAGATCAAAATGCAAAATTCAAAGTACTGTATCTTTTAATTGCATATGCTTTTGTGTAATTACAAAGCCAAAAAGTCATTAATCTCATCATTCTAAGTCTGTACATGTTTTTAAAATACTAATGTAAGTTGACATTCGCGGAGCTCACCATTTGCCAGCAATTCTTATATCTGCAAACTCCAGCCTTTCACTGACCCTTTGAAGTGGGTATCAGCAGCAGTGCCCATTTTTACAAATAAACTGATGCTTCAAGTGATGTGGTAACCTACCAGGTATCATAGAGCTGGTAGCTCTAGGATCAACTGAAACCCAGATTCTTTGACTCCAGAGCCTTCAAGTTTAAATCTTATGCTCATGGCCTCTGCTCTCTTGAACCCTCAACCAGCTGTGCAGATAAGACTTGCAAATAGAGACCACCATGCATGACTGTGTCTAAGAGGGGACAATAATAGCACATATGAGTCACAGAAAGTGTTAAATGAGACAAGAATTATAGAAAGTGCTTAGAGGAGTGCCTGGGACACTATATGTGTTAACTGCTGGTATCATGATGATTAATGTCTTAATAACGTCAGAGTCCAATAGTACTTAGGAATCCAGTTGCAGGGAGTTCACTTTGGAGGGCAATTACTAATAAACACATTTTGGAGTTGGTAAATCTGGGTGGCTTAATGATGGAATTCTTGGACAAAGAACTTGGGGCTAGATGTGGTGGCAAATTCCTGTAATCCTAGCTACTCAGGAGCCTGAGGCAGGGGGACCACATGTTTGAAGTCAGCCTGGGAAACTTGGTGAGACCCTGTCTCAAAATAAAAAATTAAAGGGGGAGGTGTCCCTGGGGGTAGGTCAGTGTGAAGCCCTGGGTTTGATCAACCATGCTACACACACACACACACACACACACACACACACACACACGAACTTGGGTACAAGGGGACTACTTCAGCAAGAAAGAATGGAATGATAGAATGAACAAATCCAAGCAGACTGGAAAATTTTAAGTAAATCAAATAGACCAATATGATTGAACCTCTATCTATAAAGACAAGCAGGGAGAGGAAGATCAAACAGGAAGGGAGAATTTGTTCACAACTGAAGATGTTTGTTGAGTGGCTGCCACTATTTACATTTTGTATGATATATCATTCTCATAAAATTCCCAGGGGCTATAGACTCCTTTTTTTCCATTTGAAGGTAATGAGGTTCAGAAGAATTAGACAACTTTCCAAAGGTTCCCCAGTTGAAGAGTGATATTGCTTGGGCTTGAACTCAGGTCAGTTTCTTGCACTGCTATTCTCTTTGGGCCACATCACACTTTTAGTTTGGTGCTTAGGATCTTTCTAACACATCGTCAATATTTATAGAATACTTTTTTTGAGTGAAAGTGATAGACAAAAAGTGAGAAAAATGTATAAACATATTCTTCTTCTTAGGGTTGTGCTTATCCATCACTAAAGCCCAACATTTCTCCAGTTAAATAGCCTGTGTCTCCTTTTATTAAGATGGAAAGAACTGGTCTCCCTATTTGGTTTCCTATACACACATGCCCTCTCCCAGGTTGCCTGTTTGCCTGTACCTGTTATAACACATGCCAAAAATAATACAGCATCCCCTGAAATAAGACTTAACCAATAAAAGACTTGAAGAAAGAGTGCCAGGTGCTGGGGCTGGAATCCTGGCTCTACGTGTCTATCTGTGCTCACAAATGAGTTTCCTAAATTCTCTGTTTCTGTTTCCTTACCTGCTTAATGACAGCAATAATAGCACCCACACTGGTGGATTGCTGTTAAGAATAAATAAATATATACAAAAACTAAAATCTATGCTTACAAAAGCTACAAGCATTCATTAAATGTTAGCATTATTATTGTCACTGTTGTGACTTCTAGATCATGTCCCTTCAGGTAAAGAATTGTGATTGGCTCTGTTGGTACAGGTAGGTAGAAGTCCTTTCAGATACTTCTAAAGAGAGTGTAAAATCATACCACTTTTCTGGATGGTGATTTGATAATCTCCATCCAAATTTAACATAGACTTTTTCTCAGCGCAATATGTCCACTTCAAGGTATTTATCATGCAGGCTGTTTCACACAAGTGAAAAGTGTGTAATTTGTACCTTTTGGATTTAGGCTTGTGTGTGTATAACCTAGTCCAAATTTTAAAAATAAAGAGTAAAGAGCGTGTCTTAGTCACTTGTGTGTCGCTGAAACACTGTAATACCTGACACCTGCAACTTAAAGGAAGAGAGATTTATTTTGGCTCAAGTTTCAGCCCCTAGTTGGCTGACTCCAAGGCAGGATAGCATGGCAAGGGGGCATGGTGGAGGAAGGTTGCTCATGGCTTGGTTGCAGGAAGGCAGAGAGTCAAGAGAGGGACCGGGAAGGAAATAGCCCCTTGCAGGCCACGCTCACAGTGACCTACCTCTTGGAGCCAGACCCCACCTCCTAACTGGAAGTCAGCTAGAAGCCATAATCACAGTCCAGTCAGGCTCTTGGGGGTCCTGACATATAAACCATAACGGTGCTGTGCTTTTTCATATCCTCCCATAGTTGAACACAGTGCTAGGCACAGAAACCCTAACAAATTCCCTTTCGTTTAGTCCAGGGCAGTTCCTGAGCATTTTTGTGCCCCACACCCATCCCCATTCACAGACACGCTTCAGGAGACCTGCCTCACCCCACCGTCCTGACCATACCCTCCGTTCTTCTCCTTTTGCTCTCGAAATTGACATATGCTTTCTTCGTTGCAGCTGTTTCCTTGGCTTCTCTAAATGACGATTCCTGACTTGTGGCCCTGGCAATCTCAGGAAAACATCATCCAATTTCTTCAATCCAGACCCCAGGGGTCCCCTTTTCTCCAGAGTCATCTCCAGGCAGCTGGGACACGTTGACTGAACCACTTTTGAGGACACTTGTGAGTAAAACATTTGATTCTTTCGAGAAAATAGTACCAATCATCCCCTTGCCCTGCTACCCTCCACTTTTGAGTGTGATTTTGCTTTTTCTCCAAAGCTATTTCCAACTCTCTTCCTTTCCGGACAAACTGTGGCCCCGTGGTTAATACTCGCAGATTCCTTATTGGTTTAATCACTAACTTGTTCGAGGAGGTGTCACCCAGCAGAACCTGAGTGCAGAGAGCTCTCGCCTTTGTTCTCCTGTGTGGTTCTATTCAGGCCGACTTGTCCCTGATGTAGACCAGAGACTAAATGGATTAGAATAAAACCAATTTAAGAGAAAAAAGAAATGTTCACAGGAACAGAAATAGAGAATCTTGCTATCTTGGCTGCTTAAGATCTGCAGACCTCACCAAGGAATTTAAAAAGTAATGTTTCTTATCATAAGCGACAGAAATATGCTGCTTTCTGCATCAATAGATATGAAGATTAAAGGATCTGACTGTATTAAACAATTTTGCACAGCATCAGGCACTCTGGGCTGTGCTCTGTGCCTTATTACCCTTCATCTTGTGGCTATTTCAGGCCTAATTTAAGAATACAATGCAGTCTGGCTTTGCGAATTGACATCCTTTAATTTAAACTGTCTTGTGGGAGAATTAAGAAATTATGGAACAATTATTCCCCCTTAGTTGAAAGCTGGGTGACATCCTGAGATTCTTGTACATTAGCCATTTGAATTGATTAAGTCACATAATTGAATTACACCTTTGCCCCCATAATATCTTGTGGCAAATATGTTGGTGTTTCGCGATGGGAAAATGCTCTCATAAAAAGCTAATAGGGGCTGCAGATTGCAGAGTGACCTGGGTGTCAAAGAAAACCTCCAAGCAGGGTGGGCTGACACTTTGAGATTTCTGTGGGGGAGTTGATTAGCAAAGCGAATGTTCCATTTGGAATCACAATGGCAGTTCAGGACCAGAGCTGCATGTGTGATACAGTATGCTTCTTCCCCCAGCCCAGCTTGGCATTGTCCTCGAGCATTCAGTTACAGTGTCCAGCATTCTTTCTCCAAGCCTTTTGTAATATCTCCCTGGAACAAAAATGCTGGGTTTGGTGAACCTCGCTTTTCCTTCCCATATGTGCTCTCATTACAGAATCCACCCCCATGGTGACATCTCCCCCAGACAGACAGGCCAAGCTGGAAACCCTGTCCAGCTCACCTGGCAAAGGAAAGGCACTCAAGAAGTGTTTGTCACATGAGGCTTCATTTTCTAAGCCTCCGTGGTTTAGTCTCTAAAATATTCCCTTTTGTAACATGGGTGTGGAGAGAAGTAGAATCTGTTAGTCATTTTTGAACTGTCATTGTTAAAAAGGTATCTTTTATCTTTTGGACCACTTGTGTCATTAGGTAATAGGATCAAGGATTTATTAAACACAACTCTGTGTAATAAATACCTGTTAGGTACCTATTCTGTGCAAAAGCCAAGTGAGGTGCTAAGCGGGGAAAGCCACCCAAAAATGTTGTCAGTTCTTCAGAGGAGCTCAAAATCTGGCTTGAAATTGGACAGGTCTGTGCAGGAAAGAGCCCTGGTAGCTGAAAGAGCCGGTACGAGGGAGATGAGTAGTCCAGAGCTGTGAAAGGGGGCGAAGGTACATTCCATTTTATTCCTCTCTGAAGTGTCACTGCCTGCATGTGCCCTGCCTCTCACCCCTCCCACGTCTTCCACTTGGAACCCAGCAGAGAAGAAAACTGCTAGCCTCCTGTTCTTGGTCAGGCCGGAGGTGTGCCTTTCATTTGGAAACTCCCAGGAAGGAGAGGTTTGAAAGCACCCCGCCCCCGACCCCAACTTTCCGCTCTCCACCTCACTGCGAAGCATTATGGGTCTTCAGATTCTTTGTCTACCCTGTGTGGCATGAGAATCTCTCGCTCTTTTTAAAAGCTCTTTACCTTTTCTTGACGTTCATCAAAGAACACTGTTGGCGCTTTAAAATCCAACCACAGCAATCCTCCTGAATGTTTCTGTGTGGAAGGGATTAATCAAGTCTGTCAAACATCGAGCTGTAAAACCTTTAATATTTTTAAAAGGTTTAACGCCAGCATATTTATCACATGCATCATTGAGAATAATCTTTCTGTTTATAAAAAAATTAAATACTCACATGAAATATTGTGGTGATGAGCACAGTGGATAAAAAGCTGGCACAGGGACCCGGTTCTGCCACTGGGATGGGGATTCTGGTTAAATCTCTGGCATCACCTGCTAGGAGCCACCCATCATCCCCCACACACTTGTGTACGTGAGTGTCTTCTGTTGTGAATTTCCAGAGTTTTATTGTTCAAGAGAAGAGGAAATAGGAGAGAGGGACTCATTTTTGGTGAGTGTTTGCTCTATGTTAGGCATCGTGTCTGCATGTTTTAGATGGGTTATCACATTTTAATCTTCAAAACAGTCCTTAGTAATAGGCACTGCTGTAGCTTCTTTATAGACAAGGAAACTAAGATTCAAAAGTGAAGCAGTTTTCTCGAGATCACATAAATATTCATTGGCAAACCTGGGACTCGACGCGAAACTTGTCTAATTCTTTCATTCTGTTTGTGTGGCACATGCTTAGCGCAAGGTAGGTTTCCACCAATGGCTGGTTAGCATCAAGATTTCTGGGGATTTTTATTGCAACATCATTGTGCTCCAGATAGAGACCCAGTGTGGAGTGTTGGATATGATTCTGAGAATCTGAGATGTGTGTTTTGAGAGGTTCAATAAAGTAGAGGTGGTAATATTTCTTGGAGTGGGAAGACTATCATTCAAGGCTTTTTATTAATGTAACCAATTCAATGCTTTTCATTATCTGTAAGTACCTTCACAGGCCCAGTCTAGTGTAACCCACTCAACCACCTTGCTTGTGAATGCAGCACTACTTCCATCTTATAGTAGAAACTGGGAAACTGAGGCCCCAAAGCCTAAATTCTGCCCAGGTCATTCAGCTAGAAACAACTCCATTGATGCACAAACTGTGTTCTTCTGGTTTTAAAGTTGTAATCTTTCCACTAATATTTTTCGACCAGTTAGTGGTTGTTTCTAAGAACTCAAAAAGTAAAATGGAGTTGTTGGGGCTTTTTTAAAAGTTTTATTTATGTGAAAGTGTGCAAGCTCAAAAGTGTACTTTAACAGTTGTTTTGATCCTGGGTTTCAACTTAATCTATTGATAGGAAACCTTTTGCAAACACTATTTTTTTAAAGTACTTAATAGAGTTAAATCGTGGTTTATAATTAATTATGTATAATATTTTTCAGCTTTGAGGTATGGTTAAGAAATACTAAAAGGTTGAAGCTTGTAAAGCCCTCAGAGACACATGACTGTGGTTTTCCAGGTTTGATAACTGAGATCTGGCCACTGAAAGGAGTCTAAGGAGCCACAAAGTGTCCTATGATAGAGAATAAAGATTCCTTTGTTCGGATGGGATGGGTGGCCTAAAACCAGGGATGCATTCGCTGAGGAGGTTGCCCTGGATGCTGTCCTGAGAGGAGGAAAATGGTTTTAATGGAGAAGATTCAACAAGTGAGGTTAGAACGGGAGAAACAGAGGGTCGTGTGGCAAAATGACAACATGGCAGTCCCATGGGCGGAGCCCTGTGTGGAACTCAAATTTGTTGCTTCAACATAATTAGTTGTGTAATTGCATTCTTAGACTGCCACCATCATACTGCACACATATGTAATTAAACCCCAGCCAGCCAGGCGGGGTCTTCGTGTCTTCTGCTTGCCTCTGCTTCGTGCCTCCAGCTTTGCAGCAGAGGAAGCAACCAAAAAAAAAAAAAAAAAAAGGTCTCAACGTTGAGAAGATTCGCAATTCCAAACTCTCCTTGTCTATGAGCACACCTTTCTGTGCTTGCCAGATGCACTGGGAAAGAAAGAGGTAAAAGATGTAGGAGGAGTAGCTTTGTCCTCCGAGGCTACTATGGAGACAACAGACAATGGACCCATTTCTGGAATTTGGGTGGGCGAGATGTTTCCCCCGTTTATATTGTGCAAACTGTAATTAGCATCAGCAGGAAAAGAGAAATGACTGTGTTGGGAAACTTAACTTTCCTTTCCACAGTAGGCTCTGTTTTGGAGGGCTGGTCCCTAGCCTTGGGCTTTTTCTATGGGCAGGCAGTGCACATACACCTTTGATAGCTGAAGAGCCTTATTCTGATAGTGAAGCTCTTACTTGCAGTAAGGGGCGGAGGCCAGTGCATGACCTTCAAATCTCCAGTGTGTCTTGCTTAAGTGTCAACCACTGGGAATCACAAGGTTCTCAGAGTTTCCTTCATTTGGTGAACACGCATGAGCTCATATTCACATAAACCCTTCTCTGTGCTCAACCCCAAGCTTGATACCAGGGCCACAGAGCACCACTTACCTCTTTGGAAAGTACACTGGTCTACAACAGACTGATGGCTGGATACACAGTACCAGCTGAGGCCTTTCTGTTTGGGGACCTTTGAGCAAATCAGGCACCCACTGCATTAGTTAGGATGAACAATATTAGCTGCTGTAACCAACAGCCCCTCCCAACCTAAAGTATAGCACAATAAATATGCATTTTTATATTGAATGCAATAATTTAGAGAACTAGGATTTTTTTTCCTAGCTTGTCTACATCACCACCATCTTCTACTGGTGATCACTGAGGCTTCTAAAGAAAAGGAAAATAGAGAGGAAAATGACATTTGAGAGATTTTTAGAGACTACTGTATTTTGGGAAATGGCATATGGCCTTTCCACCTGTATTCCATTGGCCAGAGTTCAGTCATATGTTCCCACTTAATTGTAAGGGGACTAGGAAATATAGCTTAGCTCTATGCCCAGAATAAAAGTGACAGACATAATTTTGTCCTAACATGTTCCCTTAAACTCATTTCCTATTCAAACACACCCAAGATTATGTAAAAAATTATGCTTTTGGTACCACTTGAGGGACCCTTTCAGGAAATATGATCTTCCAGTGTAGAATGAAACTCTGCTGGTGAGAATTT